AAGCATTCCTCTTTCAGTATACCCAGGAGTGGTTGCCTCCATTTTATACCTGAGGAGGTATAAAGAGCAGTAGGAAGGTGCAGAGAAACAGCTGTACCATACAGCAGTACAAGCACCTCAATATACAGACTCATTTCAGTGGTGTGGCAATAAACAGGCTGCAGATCTGGTTCTCTCATGTTTTAGCTGTAAACAGCTTTAATTCAGTTTTGCTATTGTTGTGTAACTTCAGTATTTGCATATCGTAGTATTTCTGCTGCACACCTTATGAAACATGGGCAGGCTCTTCGTTTCCCAAAAGAGACTGATAATCAACAAAATAAACCAAATAGATTTTTAAAGGGTTTGTAACTCAAAGGCTTTCTGTGCAAATGCAAGACCATAAGCCACTTACTCAACCTCATATGCCCTCACAGCACGCGCTGTGATCAATCATTAGTGTGAAATACTTTTTGCCTATTTTATATGCCTATATGTATGTATTCATAAAGTTTTTAAATTTAAAATACGCTGTTCTATTTTAAAATGCCAAACACTCAAGAAATACCTGCCTGTCCCAGTGATTCTGTGTTGCCTCTGCTGCCCACCATGACCCTTTTGACCGGGCAGGCTGGTTGCTGCAGAAGGGGACATGTGGCACAGCCCCTCTGCAATTTCAGGGGGATGTGCTCAGCAAAACTGACCCTGCAGGAGGGCACAAGCACTGGACCCTGGCCTGGAGAAGGAATAAAGCTGCTCTCTTGTCTGCAAACCTGGAGTACCTTCTCAGTGTGCAGGTATGGCTATTCTGACCCTTGGGCTCCGTTCTAGTTAGACTAAATGAGAACATTTATTATACATGAAAATTGTTTGCCGAGGGAGTAGGAGAGGCCAAAAGAAAACATTATTAATCCACTAAACATTACTGTACTGCAGCCAAGTTTGTAACAAACACAACAGTAGGGATCATTGTTTGGTATAAATTGCCTTGTAATCATTTCCACAAGCTGAGGCTCAGTCCCAGCACGCCTGACACGCTTGCGGGGTGCAGGAAATGCAGATACAGTCTCCTGAAATACATGCCTGCCATTTGCATCTCCTGCCCTCACCACTGCTACTGCCACCCCAGAGCAAGGGCAGGACTGCTCAAAAAGCCGTGATGATTTTTCTGTAAACCCCCGTATCCCTGAGGATGCTTCTCTAACACTGGTTACTGTGGGTCAGTAGGGCAGTGGTTTGCTGTGTTGGAAAGTGCAATTTTACACAGACTTAATGCAAGAGGTCAACAGATTTGACATTGAAGAAAAGCTACACATAAAAAAAAAAAGTGAAGGCTTAAATATTTAAACTGTGTGAGGTTTAATTCCAGCTGGGCAATTACAGTAAACTGGAACACAGGCAGAGGCATTGCAGCCTGAGCCCACTTCACAGAGCAGCCTTTGTGATGGAATTGCTTCTGGTGTCTCCACAATGACTGAACATACCCTGCTCTCTCATTACGGGAGTGATGAACAATGTAGCTGCCCGCCAGCAAGTCAAAAGAAGCTTTGGGAAAAATTTCTGAGTTTTCCCTTCTCCAAGGCATGCTAACTTAGCCTGGTGCCTGGACTTGTCACAGGGGTCCACAGGCGTCCTTCTGAGCCAGAGCAAAGTCTGCTTCAAAGTGTGCATGATGGCACTTTAAAGTACAGCAGTCCTGCACAAATTAGGTTTTGATCATTTGATCATCAGGAGGTTTTGATCATTTCACTGTCAGTAACACCCAATATTCCAGCTGTCCTTACAAACCACACACACTGCTCCCCTCTTGGCACGTTTTGTGCAGTTTTCTGCTCTCAAAAAAAACCCCCCAAAACTGGGAAGTTTCCAGTAAACACATCTAATGTAAGCGCCTGTGTCAAACAGGGCTTCCTCAGCTTCCCTGCAGCATGAATGGAGAAGGTTATTTTTACAAAGACATATGGGCCTCTCATCTCTCTTTTGTTTAAATGTACACAGTCCTGGCTTCTGACAGTAGTGAAATGCTCAATAGCATCATTGTGAGAAATGTTTTTAATGTATCAAACCATCCTTGGCATTATTAGCATAGTCACATAATTATCCATGGAGAAACTTACACCCATATGTTAACGCCCATAAAGTATTGTGTGAATCTCTTTTATACCTTTATTTTCAGTTTCTGGGAAAGATACATCACTGGGTACTTAATATAGCAATTGCTTCAGAAGGTGTAAGCTGCCTATGCCCGCGGTGAAATGGTCGGGAGGCAGAGTAGTGCTGGCAGCGTCATCTGAAAGCTCAGTAAGCCACAGTCTAACTGTGCTCAGAATGTGATGCAAGAATATGATGCACCTCTTTAATTTCACAAGAGATTTCTTAAAAAGACAGGAATTTAAAAACGAGAACGAACAGAAACTGATGGTAGGCTAAGTGTGAAAAAACACCTTGTAGGGAACAAATTCTTCATAGTACAAGGCAGAGAGCCTGATCTGAAATTCCAAGCTGGGGTAGCAACATCAGTGTTTTCTAGATATCCTGATACCCTGAGTATCTTAGCCATATCTGACACTTTTGTATTTAGACTGGATATACCAGATTAAAGATCTAATCTGCTGAATTTTCTCATAATCCTTACAAATTTGGCATGAAGGCAGTAAAAGAAGTTGTGTGTGAACCCAGAAATCGGTTGTAGCACTTTCAGATCTTGGCCTCAGACAGCATAATCTAACTTTTTAATGCAGACCCATTGTATGCTTATCTTTAGGGTTTTTAAATTATTTATCCCAGTATTACAAATATGCTATTCTATGCATATGTGATATGTTCATTTTACTAAAACTGTTAAATACAAAACATTAGGACATGAGAAATATATCTCACTTTTTATAAATAGCTGTGTTACACTTTTACTCAAGTGATTTTAGTAAATCCTTTTGATTTTATTTTTTTCATTTGCCTTTGCTTGACATTTCTTCCCAAGGTGTCTGGTGACTATTCTGACTATTCTGATGTAAGAGAGATAAAAGTAAGGAACATTCTTCCCCTCCTTTGATCACTTTGCAGCTTGGGAACTGCAAACCCATATTCAAATATTCAGAGCTTACAGGAGCAGAGCATAATATTTGATGTTGCATGCTAGAGTAAAGGCAATTGCTACAAATGGTTCACTGTAGTACAGTAGTTCTAGCATTGCCTAATTTATTAATCATAGAAATGTTGCATGCAAATTAGCCACAGAGTTGTGCATCATAATACAGTAATCCAAAAATCTGTCTTCACATGTATTAATGCTCGTAAATTATGGATATCACACTACAGCATTACACAGTTTCCCCATTACATTCCAAAACTTGCTGAAAGCTTACTAAAAGCCATGTTACCGAGTGTTTTCTTTTTGTTCCTTACTTCTGGCTTTCTAAAGTGTGAGAGTATTTAGCTGCAGGGCATTTTTGTGTCTTCCTTTTCCCAGGGTTCCTTTTTGGGCTAACATTCCGCCAGCCAAACATCAAGATTTCTCTAGCGATAGTGCAGTTTAAAAACATATTTTTTCTCTGGTATGAGTATGGTCAGCACCACTGTCCTCCCCTGCTCTGAAAGCTGCTCCATTTCACGTCCTGACCTTGTAAATCCTGGGCACTCTGCAAGGGAAATCTGCATCTTTTCCTCTCTTGCTTTCTTAATGCTCCAAATATTTCTTTCAGGAAAGTCAAGGTGAGAATAAAGGAACTGACAGTGTTGCATGGAATATTTTGCAAAAAAAGACCATGAAAGAATTTCTGCACAGCAAATAGGGATAATCTGTGCAGTTGTATCCCCAGCCACTCACCAACTTGCCCTCCTCTTACTGTCAAAAGATGAGAAGAAACAGAGAAATGGGAGCAAAGAGAGTTTGCAGGAAAAAGAGAGAAGAAGGAATAAGACAACTGAAGGTGAGCAAGACAGAGAGAGCAAGGGAAGAGCAGAAGGAGCGTTAGGATTGTCAACACCAAGGAGGTCAGAGACCTTGAGTGTGATGACAGAGAAACGTTAGGAGTTAGCTATGCAAAAATCCAGTTTACAGGATATTTAATTTACTATGATAGATACTTAACATTTATCCATTTTACAGATACAGTCTCCACAGGCTACGCCGCAGAGATTAAAATGAAAGGCATAAACTGAAGTGACTTAGCCAAGCAGTACAAAAACACAAACCAAACCAACACCCGAGAGGAAGTTGCTGCATCTCTGTTACCAAACTATGAGAGGTAAGGTAAGGCAAAGTCAAAAGCATTAAATAGGTAAAAGTAGGTGAGAGAAATTCATAAGCTAAGTTAACCAGTTTGAACCACACGTATTTGAATAAGATGCTAAACCACTCTTTTAAAAGAAGGAAACTACGATTAAGGTTTAAAGCCAATACAAAAATACAGTAAAAACAAGAGACGCAAAACATTCATAGGAGTAACTGCGGATCATTTAATTACAGCTGGTGATGCTGAAGTGAGCTGCATTCATTCTTGTAGTATTGAGAGAACTGCAGGCAAAAAAAGTAATACAAATACAAAAGAAAATAAACAGAAAATACACAGAGATAAGAAGACTGATGCCTTTAACACTTTGCTTTGGGGATTGTTATTACAGATATATTTACAACGTATGGTCTGTTATTGTCAGGTTAAAAATCAAGTTTTATTTAGAAACCTCCCAAGCTTTGTGTTTTCTTCAGTATCATCTCTGATCCTACTTTGCTCTCCAGCACTAAACAAACTACCACTGGTCTAATATAGTAGTTCCTCACTGCACTTAGTGTCAAAATCATTAAGTATTCCCAGGTATTACTTACTGTCACTTGGCTCATGGTGGCTGTTTTGTCACCTCCCGGTCTTGAGTCCCACAGAGGAATAATGGCAGTATAGAAGCTGTAGCTCTATAAAAAGTGTCATGTTAATATCAGAGGAGGAGCTAGCCATAAGGGGTTGGCTTCACGAATGTAAATATTTCATAATTTATTTAGCAACATGGCTTTTCTTTTTCCCCAGGCAAAAACTTTAATAAAGGAATAGGTCTGCTGCAACAAAGGAAATAACAGCAAAAACAGAGACAAGGACACATCCTAACCCCACTAATATCAGCAGGAATTTGCCTTCATCTTCAGTGGGAACAGAACTTCAAAGACATGGGAATCACCTATAAAACCTGAAGGGTAAAATCTGAAATTCCATAGTCTATGACACAAACTGTGTTTAGAGGGTGATAGCATAGTCACGACACGATGAAAATGTCTCTAGCAGGAGTTGCACTCCTTGGCCTGACCACAGCCTTGTCTCCAGCACTGCCAGGGTGGCTGTTAGGACAGACCTCAGAGAGGTCTCATGCACAGGCAGCTTCTTTGAGAGAACTTCTCTGAGGCAGGACTACACAGGAGCTGGCCAGAGATGAACTTCCTTTTGGTGGACACTGTCTCTCTTTGTTCATGGCTATACTTTCAGTGCCCAAGTCAGGAAGAAGTGATACCCCCACCTTTAGGGGTATATTTTTTTGCATCTCAGTAACTCAAGATATTCTTTCAAGGCCTGTCTCTGGCAGAATGAAGGCTGAAAGCTCTATCTCCTCAGTCCTACTTTGTGTTGTTAGAACTGAGGAAGATGGGCTGTGTGGATATAAGGACTCTTTTCTTCTCTAGGGAGATTTAAGATCTCCCTAGAGGACTAAGAACATCTTCTGGGTGCACACTGCTTTCTAAGTGCTGTGAATGTGGGAAAGCCAGGAGGAGGGAACTCATTCCTGAGTACCTCTGCAGGTCTTGTTTTGGTACTGGTACCATACAGCAAAGTAGAAATTAAAAGAGCAGAGATACCATTCTTCTGCTAACAGCAGAATTAGTTTCCCTCTCTTTCCTTTGGATGACTCCTTATGCTTCTGTTGCTGGGAGCACATAATGCAACACTGTGTCAAGGCACTGTACGTGTGTAATGTACAACCTGGAGAGGTTGTTACACCCTTGATGAGTGAGTTTATCTGTTCCTCATGGTACTATTTTAGCTTTGTGAGAAAAAGTACCCCTCTGTCCTTCAGTATTCCTTGGTCACCAAAATCAGTCTGACAACACAGACTCTTTCAAATAAACCAAATTCCAAAGAATGGTATGTGTTTCAGGAAAACAGTCCATGGCAGTGTGTACCCTAACTAAGGCCTCTCCACTGATTTCAAATTCTATTTCAGATGTTTCATGTGGCATCTGCACCACCAAACCATTGCAGGCTGTATCAAGAAAGCAATGGCAAACACTTTCAGAAAAGCACCTTTACAATAACTATGTTTAACATATGCTAGTATGTCTGTGTACTGTACAGCAATGATTTTCAGTCTCTGGGTGTAAAGACATTAGTGTAAGATTAGTAAGTTACCTTTAATAAAGCCACAAATATGACTATGAAATAGAAGTTCATGCATATTTTCCATACATTTAATTTCTTAAGGAAGCCTGTGCCTCTACTGGAAAATTATAGGGAAATTTCAAAACCTTTGCTCTTTGCAAGTTAGACCCACGTTGTATGTCAAAATATACAGTTGGGTTTTTTTGAGAGAGCTAGCATGGCTCAGGGCCCTGCCGGTACAGAGGACTTGAGATTTCAATACTTCTTTTAAAATAAAATGCAGTATTTCTTTAATGCTAAATTCCTTTGGATTCCAGCGTCCTCACTGTTAACAATCAGCACATTTACAATCAAAGAAGTGAGGAGTGAAGCATGTGGTTTGGCTGCTTTCAAAATCATATGCTTCGAAAATGCTATTTGAATTTGTGGGTTTAGCTTGGTAATCCAACTGAAATGACCGTCAGCTAGACAGATAGGACAGTAAAGGTGAAACACAGTATCACAGATAAGAAACTAATCTGTATTTCATGGTTCCCATCTCTGGGTATATGAGCCCAGCTCTTTGTGGGATCAAGTGACACTTAAACATAGCACTATTGAGCACAACTGGTTCGATTATCTTTGTTAAACTGGTGTGGTAAAGGCAAAGTGAAACCGAGTGGCTTCGTGGCCCTCACCACTTACACCATAAGCACAGTGTCCTCCCTAGGCAAGGGCAGTTTCAAGGGCTAACAGCATCTGAAGTAAGTCCAGTGGAAATTGAATGTAGTGTTGTGTAAAGCATGACAATAAGGTCAACAGAGAAAAAATTAGAAGAGCTAAACTTTAGATAAATTTATGAATGCACTGTACAAATTAATACATATTTGTGCAAAGTATTCGGGAGAAGAGAAATATATTTCCTCTGAAAGGATGTAGGTGTGGCTACTGCAGTGCACCAAGGAGATTAAAAAAAAATCCTGTTGCTGTGTTCTTGTTGTGTTTGAAGTAATAATTAGACTTTGGCGTCAAGTTTGAATGATAACTATTACTTTCTTCACACAGATTTTCTAAGCTTGAGAGACCAGTTTTCAAAAGCTCTTTAGCAAAGTTATTATGTTGCAAGCATTACTCCGACAGAAGAAACTGTAAAAGGATGATCAGAAATAGTCAGGGTGAGTCCTGGTTTTTCGGTACCTTCTCAGGATTTGGCTTCAAAAAGGAAAGTCAGCTTTTCTGACAGTAATCTTTCATAATTAGAAATGAAAATTATGCAGTTGGCAAGTTCTCAACAGCCTTGGAAATTGGACCTAATACATTCAAAGGCACAGCCTTTAAAATATTTCACATGTAGACATTGTTAGCTAATGTTCTCAATTAGAATGCATGCTTTTGTTCTTAAAGAAAACCACCCATGCTATTTCTTTTACTGCTGATACAGGTTTGTATCTGTTTATGCTTTGAATTTTCTGTTTTGGATACTCCCAGAGGGAGTACTTTAAACTCCCATAGCACTGTGTCCCAGATAGCATTACAGTAAGTCTTGCATATGGCTGTATGAACATACTACTTATGAAGAGAAGCTTACACCTGAAGAACTCTAGTACTGTGAAATAAAGTATTCAAAAGTGAGGAAGTATAGAACTACATTTGCCTGTAAAACTTTGATTTGGCCTGTGTATGACTATCCTTTACAACTGGACCATCTTTTTTTTTTGTGTACAAAATCTGCAGCTTTCTCAGATAATATGTAGAGGGTTTGCTGGCTTTTAGTCCTTTATATTAAGTGTGTAGTCTTCTGGTTTTATTTATTGCTCATTATCCAGCTCCATCCCAGAACTTAATTCTGTCACAGGAGTTTCCCAGAACTTAATTCTGTGACAGAAATTTGATACGTCTAGCTGAAAGAACAAGTGAGAACAAAATTTTAAATACCAGCCTCAGCCTGGATAAAAGCCTGGAAACTTATACATTTAGTTGTTAAAAAAAAAATCTGGAATGACATGCTAATAATCCTTGACAGAGGCCTGCGAAGAGACTACAATCATCTGAGCAGTATATTCTACTTAAGCTTTAAAAAAAGTACAACAGAACTTGCTATTGATAAATAACTTGTGTGCAGGATCCAGAGCAGTTTTGTTGGTATCTCCAGCAACGCCATCACTCCATCTCTCAATGATTTTGTGGTTGGCATCATATCCACAATATCAGCCTTGCAGGTTGTGTAACAAGCTAATGATGCCACCCTTAAGGAAAAACATGGAGGTGCTTGTAGGATGACAAGGTTCCACCACACAAATACAGTAAGAAATAATTGAGATTAGGTGAGGCTGCAGTCAAACATGAAATATTAAAATACTGTTTACAAACAAACATAGAACCGATTAAACTGAATTTATGTAAACTATTTAATTAGCAGATTAGAAAGCCTGATGTTACGTGTGTGATCTTCTAGTCTGACTTCCGGTATAATGGAGAGCAGATTTTCCTGAACTCATTCCTGTCTGAACTAGATTGTATCATTTTGAAGGAGAAACATACATGTTGAAATAAATATCAACAGAAAAGTTACCATAATTCTTGGTAACAATCTCAATGATTAATTAGAGGTAACGATAAATTAAGGTTGCAGGTCTGGGATCTTTGTCTCCCAGAGCTAAGGCATGGATTTTTAAACGGATGTTTACAACACAAAATGGTACATAAAGGGCCCCTATTAACCTTCTATTTGATGAGCTAAATAGATGGAACTCTTTGAGCCCCACATTAGAAGGAGAGTATCTCTTAATCGTGTCTCATCTCTATCCTATGAAATCCTTCTAATTTTTCATCACTTTATTTGAATTTAGGACCCAAACCCCATTTACAACATTCCACTTTTCCTTGCATTGGTGCCAGATACAGATGAAGTATAAATCTCTCTATTCTTTCTCAATATTTACTTGCTTGGGCAATCAAGAGTTGGCTTCTCTGTTTTAGTCACCACATCAGAGAATAGGAATTGGGGTCTGTTAGTCTCTAGTTGCTTTTCAGAGACTTTGCTTCCCAGCAGAAGACTCCCTAAGAGATTTACTGGGCCCTTGTTCTTTCTAGAACATATGTTCTACTTATTTATTTGTATAAAGCAAAAATGCTTTCACACAAATTTTGTAGGAGAATAAGGCACAAAGGGATGTATCAGAGTTACTATGAAGTATTTGTGAAGAAAGAAACTGAGGACAGGACAGATCTCCTGAATCCCATATTGGCACTACAGTACTGCACATTTCCATGGGAGGCTGAATTGCAAAGGCCATGGCCAGATGCATTGTCAGCTGATGGATACAATCCTAGTACTGGATTGAATGCTGTAATTTCTTTCCAGATGTATTTAAAACTCTTCTGGTTCAATAAGAAAGCAGAGCTTGAAGCCTAACTCTCTCCTACCAAAGGTAACCATGCCATACCTTCTCTTTCATAAATAATCCCACACAAATTTAGGAAATAAAGTATTTTCCCAGACAGGAGAAAAATATGATCAATTTGGAAATACAGACAAAAGAAATATTTTAGCTAATCAATTTAGCTAATTCTTCCCTGTCAGTTTGTACAGTTACTTTTACTGAAATGGTGCTTTTGATTCTGTCCTCTGTCTCCTACTGCAGGGAACAAAGATTGTCTTCAGCATCACTCTGTGTTGGGTAAAGCACCAAACTGGTTGAACCATGCAGACCAAGCAAAAGAGATCCTGTGATAAAAGGTCTAACTTAAGAGCAGATTTCACTATGAGTTTAATTTCTTTGTTCAGTCAAATCCTGTGCACCAGACAGGATTGGCTCTGACAAGCTTCTACAGAAAAATGATCCCAAAGAGACTGAAATCTAGGCCACAGCTACGAATAATTCTTCGGAAGCTCTCTGGATTTCCTGGAGGGCGAGGTGTGGCTCTGTGTGTGGGAGGTAAACGCTGGTGTACTTCTGTTAGTAGTAATTAGGTGTAGCTTGAGTTTCATTAATAAGAGCTACATATGCATGCTGGAAAAAAAGTTTATCTGACACTGGGATTATATGTTACTAGCTAAATGCCTTATGTTGTGTGTTATCTTTGTTATTTTGTGATTAGCACTTAAAAATGTCCATAATATTTTATCAGCACATAAGAAAAAAAGTTCTATTACTGAGAGTTTATAATATAAAAGAGAAAGAAATCTCCTGGTAAATCTCCAAGTTATCCTACCAGTCTGTCTAACATTTTAGAACCACTTCTTGCGTTAGCATTTGTTTTTATTAGCTTTAGTCATTTTGCTTTTGATGTTGTTTATAATTACTGCCAAATGCAAAAATAGTCTTTCCAGAAATTTACCATGAACACCCAGCACTGAAATACCAGTCTAAAAGATTTGATAAACCAGTAAAGAAACAGAATCTTATTGGGGAAAAGGGCTGGGTAGCCTTAAATAGAAGAGATTCTGCAATTCTAGTGACTATTCATCAAAATCTAGTGATGCAAACAGGAAAAAAACCAAACCTGTAATGTAGCTAAAAATGCCTGTTAAATTATTTTAAAAGTCCATTCATTGCAATGTTCAATCCCATACCATCTGAATATTATGGCAGTTATTCTAAAATTCTTATAAAACACTTGAAAGGGTTTTTTCCTCCATTTTGAGGTTTCATAGCATCACAGGTTTTCAGGCCAGGAGAAAGCACCATGAGTCTCCAGCCTGACCTTTTGCAGGGTACAGGTGGCAATTAGATCAAGTGATATCTACAGCATTTCTGGTGGAGATAGAAGACTTCCTTTGGAAAAACAATCCACCTTCTTGATTTAAAGATTTCAAGTGGCAAGAAATACTTCCCAGGCCTATCAATTTATTTTTTTTCCATGGCTCAGTTAGTCCAAGGGGTTCTCTCTATGTTTTGGTTTTGTTTTGTAATCAAAAAATGGCTCAGCTTTCAAACACTACATCTTTTAAAAGATTTGTCTTCTAAACTGAAGATTTCTACGATTATTCTCTTTATTTATGTAATTCAAGATGAGTTAGTGCTTATGTAATTCATTGATGGGCTCGAGATTAAGGTTTTGAAGCCCCTGTAAGAAGGGTTTCTAGATCACAAAGCAACCATAGCCTGGTTAACCAGGTTCTCAGTTTTTGTCTCGGTATCAGGACATGCTGCTCCACCAGCCAACCCCTACTGCTACAGTGCTCTCCACGTGGATCCACATGGATGGCATTGCTGTGTGTTCTTACTTGCTTTTCTCTATTGCTGCTTTTCATAGTGCAGCCCTCCATCAAATAGCCAAACTACGTTTTTCTTTCCTAGCAATATTAGCCTGCACTTAGCTATACTAAAATACACATTGTTCAAGGTAGCTCACCTTTCCAAAGATGTACTAGTACTGTGGACTAATTCCTTATCACTGAAATGTGTTAAAATATTTAAGCAATATATTTTGCTTATTCTTGATAACATATATGTTGATACCACGAAGTTAAGAGTGATCTGCAAGGGGAACAACAGTTTCACTTGACACCTTTTACTTTGTAACAAAATAGTTACACTTTTTTAGTACCTTTAGTAGCACAGGCAAATTGTGTTGCATTCATTTTGATCAAGGAGAAAATTCTTATATATTTGGGGGCAACTTGCATGCAGAAAAAGAAACAAAATTATTTGCTATACCAAGTTCTATTTATTTCAGCAAAATTATTCCACTACTGTACAAATATGTCATAATGTAAAGTAACAGAAATTTAATACATAAAATGAAAACACAAAGTAGCGTATTCTGAAAAATATCTGGCTAGAAATGAGTCATACTCTAATCTTGGATAAACTCCTTCTTTTTCCCTACGTGAAGGAATGTTTTACTAAGGCTGCTCAAGCTATTTTTTATCGCCATCAGCAGAGAGATACAAGCACCACTCCTACAAAGAGAACCACACCCCTCAAGAAACACAAGTTTTTCTGCATACCCAAATCATTGATGAAATGTTGCCATTGTCCCTTTTACAGGACAGTTCTTTGGAAAAGGACAGTGATCTCAGAAGCAGCACAAGGAATTCAGCAAAATACCAGGCTGGAAACAGTAGATGCTTCTTCAGTACTTTGCCATGGGTAGCTATTGGATAAACTTCTGAGAAAGTGTAATGTATCAAATTACAATTTTGTTGTTCATAGAATTTCTATTTGGGGAAGTATTCCTGTTTTCTGCACTAGGCACTTGAAACTCCAGCAACCTCCATTATATTTTTTCCCCAGCTAATATACAATTAATGCATTATCTAGTAGTTATAATCTACTAACTAACCAGAAGTGCTGACAGACTTGTAGTAAATCAAACACCCAGTATTAACAAGGCTGATCTGGTTATCAGTTTAAGATAATGGCCAGCTGTGCCATCTTGATAAATCCTGTGGGAAGAAGTTATTGTAATGTTGGTTATAACTACATGGTTACTACTGTGTTGACATCCGTACATAAAGCAACTGTGAAATAATTTTTTAAACTCTAACGAGTTTAAAACTCAACAGTCATATGTAGCAGACTAGGGAATTTCCATAATTTTTAAATAATACATTTGCAAGGGTTTTTTGCAAGAATACCGTGTAAAATGCCTTCTTTTTTGAAATGCTCTCCTTTGCTTCATTTTTCCTGAGATTATTTAAGTCTTGCTCTGTCGGGCTTCCAAAAGCTTTGCTTCTTTTTCTTTCCCACATGCACATAGACACACGTTCTGAGATGTTTGACACAGACATTTGAATGCATCACTGATTACTGCTCTTTGCATGGTACAGCAAGAGGGTACACCAGGCTGAACTGCTGCACCTTCAAGAAGGGCAGGATGAGAGACCCAGAGAACTGCAGGTCTGCCAGCCTCACCCCTTTCCCCAGGATGACTCTGGAGCAAATACTCCTGGAAGACATTTCCTAGCACCTGAGATACACAAAGGTGATTGAGAACAGACGGTGTAATGTGGCTTTACCAAGGGCAAACCTTTGATGGGAAGACTGGCTCAACAGAGGAGGAAGAGCAGTGCTTGCTATTTACCTTGACTTTAGGGAGGCCTTCAACATGGACTCCCACGGTGCCCTTACAGTCAATTTGGAGAAATATGCAGTGGAAAAATGTACAAGGTAGATGGATGGGCTGTGCAGTAAAATGGGTGTTGATCAGCAGTTCTGAGTTCACACAAAAAGGTGGCTGGTTACTACTGGTGTTCCTCAGGGACCCATACAGAGGCCAAAACTCTTACTGTCCTTATTAATGGCCTAGACAAGGTAACAGAGTGCACTCTCAGCACATTTAGGAATGATACCTTTGGGGGACATGGATGTCAATAGTCTGGAAGATAAAACTGCCACTCAGAGGGGCCTTTGTTGGTTTTTTTTAACATTGTTTTGTTTCTTAAGCCTAGGACTTTTTACACAAAAGCATGAAGATTGTAAAGAAATTCTCTAAAGCAAAAGCATTACAGAATGAAAACTAAGAAAATTTCATTTGGTCCTTATTCAGCCATAGCAAAATTAACTTTTTTGGACACTCAGTCCGCATTTCTCATTTGCTGGGTGGTGAACTTGAGATATGTGGAATCTGGTATCTAGAATGATCCTGAGCATGGTGACATTAATTGTGAACCTAATTGAATATAGTTGTGGTTTAAATGCATAGTGCTAAATATTCACCAAATAACCTCTGGGTATCTTACACTGGGCATTCTAAATTCATAGATATGTTTAATAAATTTTGTTTTGACAAAATGGTTTAATTTTCTCATCCATATAATGGACATCATGCCTTCTTTCCAATAAGCACCTTAATGTTTGTACACAGCTCAGGTACTGTAAACAAGAGTAACCCAGAAAAGCATATGAAAATAATAATTTTTTTTTGTGTTAAGTAATGGGATGAGGACAGGCATTGAGAGCACGTAGTAAGATCTAGTGTTAATTCTAAACGTTAAATAATACCCAACTTTATCATGCATGATACCCACTTTATCCATTAGAGAGATTGCCCTGGGTGACTGAAAACACTGAAATTAAAAGACTGTAACCAAGATATCCACTAAGGAATGCAAGCCTGCAAGTCTCAAGCAGATGATCCTGAAAACTACTCACGCAGTTCCTGTGTAGGCACCTTGTAATTTTACTTTGCTCCCCTATGAAATGCACCCCTGGAGAAACAGCTCTGGGTATGCCTAAGTCTGGGAACAGTCTGGAAAGAGCAAAGCAGTTTAGCATTTATTTTTTGCTTACGCCTAGCTGAGTAAACAAGAGGCTTTTCTACAGTAGAGATAACAGATGGCTTGGTACAGTATCACATACCAAGCATCACGGGCCTAGGATCTCTACAAAATACAATGCAGGGTTTCTCTCAAAAAGTGATGGTATAGATGTTCATATTTCATAGGACAGCATATTGTGGTGGGCCCATGTCCAGCTCTATTCTCAGCTGAAGAGATGTGGGCTCAAAGACAGATTCCCCTGCCACAGGGAGTGTCTCCCACCACTGACCATTCCACCCCAGTGAGACCATATTATCCTTTCTTCACCGCGCAAAAAAACCCCCAACAGAGCATGCTATGTAAGTTGTAAAATAAGAGTATCCTGGTTAAAATGTTATTTGCACAGAACAGAGTTCATAGCTAAAACAAGCAAAAGACTCTGGAATTCCTATGAAAAAATTAAACTAATACTATGCATGCATTTATTAGTTGGGCCTTCCATTGAAGTTGTAATTGTACCTTGTCAGTGATCTCTACCAAGTCCACAATGTGTTTCTGGTGTATTTTATTGCTCCTCCCCTGCCTTAGGAAGTTCTTGTATTTTTGTGTATCATTATTTTGTTCCTGTGAGTCCTTGAAAGAAAAGTATTTGAATAATATTAGGAGGTTGTCTTCCCTCTTGCTGGGAGGGAGAAAAGATAATGTGTTTTTTCCACATGTAAGAACTCGGTGATCCCAACAAAAACACCATTGCAAATTGGAACTACAAACAACACAGAACTCCCTGTGTGCTCTGCTAACAGCAGTGATGAAAATCTTTACTAATGACTTTGAGAGACACCCTTGCAATCTCTGACATCTGAATCAGCTAGAGAGATAAAGTTACAGCAAGTCCTTGGTTAACATATTCTCAACAAAATCCTCCAAAATTCAATTACCATGGAAACTACTTATCCTTAAGGCACTAAGGATCGCTGAAATATTTTCTCCTGACAAAAATGGGACTGAAAAATATCAGGTTGTGCATAATGAGGCCTTTGATCTTCCATTTACATCTGTGTTAAGTAGAGGTAATCTCAATGAAGCAAGTTGAGTTGAAGAGCAATATTCATTTATAGGACAGAACAAGGTTTAAGACTTTGGCTAGTTCTGGTTATTTCTAGATGTTTTTCCATTATCTTCATATGTTTATGGTAACAGATTTCTTTTTACTTTTCTAGTAAGAGAAACATAGTAAGGCAAAATAGTATTTGTATATAAAATTAGTAGATAACTTCAAGCTTTTAAAAATTCCTTGGGACAAATGGAAATAATCAGTCCCACTGAGGCTCAGAATTTTGTAGTCTGAGATTAAAAATGCCTCTAATTTAGCCCAGCCCCCCCCCAAATCCCTGAGTACTCAATTTCTATAAAACAGAGTATGGTCTTTGCTGTGCACAAACGTTTGCACGCCTCTAAGCAGGACAATCAGCTCAGGAGCAGAAAACCTCATTTCTAGCTTTATGTAAATTGAATCTCTAATTTGCAGTAGGAGTTCTTGTTTCATTTTAACATCAAGTTTCAACAGATTTTAATGGAATAAAAATAACTTTTGGGAACATTACCATCCAAATCCCTATGGTTCCTGTTAAGCAGATGCTCCCCACCGCTTAAGTCACTGTGAGCAAAAGTCTGAATGTGGAATGTGTGCACAGGGTCAGGCATTGCTGGCCACAATGTCACGTAAACCCATCAGTGTGTCATGTTTGCTCAAAGCTTCCCATTTTGATAGTTAACCCTGATTATAAATTACACTGCAGCAATAATTCCTATTAAATACTTTGATCTTATCTCTACGTTTTCCGCCTGCTGAGCAATGAGCCTGGCCCTGCAGGTCCCTGAAGGTCAGCAGGCTGTGCCACCCCGGCCCTGGGCCCAGCCATGTCCACGGCACACCAAGCAACCATCACAGTGTGCCCTGGCAGCCAGGAGGGACAACCCTGTCCTGGGGGGCATCAGGCACAGCATCGTCAGCTGGTCGAGGGAGGGGATTGTCCCGCTCTGCTCTGCACTGGGCAGACCTCGCTTTGAATACTGTAAGCAGTTCAGGGTGACACAATCACAGAACCATTGAATCATCAGGTTGGAAGAGACCTTCAAGATCATCCATCCTGCATCCAACCAACCACCTGGCACTGCCCCTGTAACCCCTAAACTACTAAACCAGATCACCCAGAGCCAGATCCAGATGCCTCTTGAACACCTCCAGGCATAGTGGCTCCACCACTTCCCTGGGCAACCTGTTCCAGTGCTTGACCACCCTAAGAGTGAAAATAATATTTGTAATATCTAATCTGGATCTTCTCTGTCTCAGCTTAAGGCCATCTGCATCAAACTGCTTTAGAGCTGTGGTTAGCCAGAACTGTGAGCAACACAGACTTGTGCCCCAAGTTTGGGCCTCTCCGGTCACGGGGGAGGGTAAGAACTCCTGCCTACATCGCAGCCTGTCAGCACAGCCGTGGACAGCTCTCATCAGTTTTGCACTGGTGGCTAGCAAAGTTCAGGTTGTTCTTGTATCTTGGTATCTGGAATCCAGGAAATCCCATGAGTTCCTGCCAAGAGATGGAGGAGAGAGAAGGAAGGTGAATGATGCTGGCAAGCCCTGGAACCTTTAGCACTGCTGGCTTTCATGATTTATTGAGGTTATTGCAGCAACTCAGCACCAGGCATTTAAAAATCTCTATGGATTTCTGCATTTAAATAACTAAATTCTAGACTAAATTAATACCAACCAACACCTCTCTGCCCCCAAATTGTTCTTTCAAAGGTCTGAGCTTGCTGCTGTACTGCTCTGCCCATCCTGATGGAAGGGACTCAGACCCCACACCTCAGCACTGGCAGGAGCTCATATAAGGAGGATAGGAAGCTACTAGAAAGTGTTCAAGGGAGAGCTACGAAGATGGCGAAGGGCCTAGAGGAGAAGATATAAGAGGCTGAGGTCACTTGGCTTGTTCAGCCTGGAGGAGACAGAGGGGACACCTCATTGCCGTCTACAGCTTCCTGATGAGGGGAAGTGGAGGGGCAGGCACTGATCTTTCTGTGACAGGACCTGAGGGAATGGCGTGAAGCTGCGTCAGGGGACGATTACGTTGGGTATCAGGAAAAGGTTCTTCCCCCCCGAGGGTGGTTGGGCACTGAACAGGCTCCCCAGGGCAGTGCGCACAGCACCAAGCCTGTCGGAGTTCAAGAAGCATTTGGACAATACTTTCAGGCACACAGTGCCATCTCGGGGATGGTCCTGTGCAGGGCCAGGAGTTGGACTCGATGACCCTTGCGAGTCCCTTCCAACCCCGCATATTTCTCGCTCCTGCGACCCCCGCGCGACCGCTCCCTCACAGCCCGGACCGCCCCAGGGCCCCCGCGCTGCCCCGCCCAGCGCAATGCGCGCCACCGCCCCGCGGGCGAGGGCCAGGGTCAGGGTCCGCCGGTGCCAGGCGCAGCGCCATGGCGAGCATGGCGGGAGGCCCGCCGAGCGTGGCGGGCCGCCCGCCGAGCAGCGGGTGCTCATTCCCGCCCACCTTCAGCGTGTCCGAGATCAAGAAACAAAGCAGCGCCGGCACTTCAGTTCCTCTTCGCTGGACAGCAGCAGCAAGGAAGGTGGGGCGGGGCTGTTCAGCGGGCGGCGGGGAGGCTCGGGTCTGGCGGCTCTGGCTAACCGAAGCGCTGTCCTTCCCCGCAGGAGAAGCTGGACCGCCAAAGAAGAAGAGGAGAAGGAGCGAGAGGTCCCTCGAGACAAATTAAGGCTACCGGCCGCAAGCGGCCGGTGTGGTCGCGGGCAGCCTGCACCGACCGCGGGGCGGGCACGGCGCGCCTGGGGACTGCAGCTCAGCCTTGGGCTGGGGCTCCTCAGCTTCGTGAGGGGAACGTCATCTCCACAGACTTCAGTGAAACGGAGCAGCGATTACAGTGAGGGTGTGAAACACTGCAGCAGGTTGCCCGGAGAGGTGGTGGATGCCCCATCTCTGGAAACATTCAAGGTCCCGTTGGATGGGACTCAGAGCAACCTATCTGGTTGAAGACGTTCCTGTGCTCACTGCAGGGGGAGGCTGGATGTCCTTTAAAGGTCCTTTCCAACCCAAACCATTCAGTAATTCTATCATCCCTGTGGTTGCTGGCTGTGGTAGCCTTCAGAAATGCTATTGTCTAGCAGAGGTATCAATTAGCTAAGAAATATTGTTTCTACTGTGTTAAAGATGCTGTAATCAGGCAGGGTGAGTTTTAAGCTAATGGCATAAAAGAAGGCCCTTCCTGAAAAGTCATCTCTGTCTGCTGTGATTGCTATGGCATTTGTGTTGATGCTATTAGGAATTATACTCTGATAGTAATTTCTATATAAATTAAAACAATCAGATCTGACCAAACCATGCCCAGACCAGTTGTCTGCTGGATTCCAAGCCTAGCCATGAACAAGGGTTTTGCTTCCTTTACTGACCTGGTTGAAGACAGTCAGATGTGAGTTTCTGTATTATAGTAGTCTCACAAGAGTAGTGTAAGTTAACGGGGTAAACATTATAGGCTGTTGGTCATTAAATTGTAGATGTCAAGGTTAAAAAGTGTTATGTTGAAAGTAGAGCTCTTTTCTTCCATGGAAGAAAAGGGAATAGAAAGTTCTCCTATTTTTTCAGGGGGTTTTTGTAACTTTGTTTCTTAATTAGACTGAAGTTAAGCATTGCTACTGTTCTGGTGATGCTTCTCCTCCATGTGATGCTCTCTGATGTCCCAATACCTGTGCATATTTTTAATCAAAGTGATGTTGCAACGTCTTTTTCTAAAAGTGGCATAAAATAAATAATGCTTCAGTTCTGTGTAGAAATATACACAATATCATGGTAGTATGAATGTGGTATTTGCAATATACTTAATAATTACGTGAACGTGTTATGTTAATAAACTTATGTATTTTAGGCACCTCCAAAACCCATACCAAAGACTATTGAAAATCAGCGAGTGTATGACGAAACCACTGTAGATCCCAATGATGAAGAGGTAACTGCTTTAATTTCTGCATGTACTATTAAGTTAAATGTTTTTTTTCTAAGAAGGGACATAAACTGGATTGATGAAACTGAATATTCAGCACTCTCCTGTTAATGTGTTGATGAATTACTTTATACACATGATGGCCTCACTAAGAGGTGATGTCATTCTTTCATTGTCTGTGTTAAATAATTGCCTTTTGCATTACTGGTATTGATAGTAAGAGCTGCCCATGTTCATCACACTGGATTCTTAAAAATGTAAAAACCACATGCCTTGGGATGATTAATTACGAATAGATCTTGTGAATTGAAACTTACATCAGATTGAATAATTGTTCTTCAATTATTTTGTACATGGTGGAATAACAAGACTTCTGTTCTTCCAGGTTGCTTTTGATGAAGCAACTGATGAATTTGCACCATATTTCAACAGACAGACAGTTCCCAAGATTCTTATCACAACATCAGACCGACCTCGTGGGGTACGTGTTTTACTTGGAAAGTTATGAGCAGTCAAGTGGTTATAAGATACCAAGGTTTTTATACTGTGATTGATAAAATAAAGCTGAAAATAGTAGCATTCATGGTGGATTTTTTTCAGTTGTTTCACTCAGTGATTATCAATAACCTTGTATATATGTATGTAATCTGTTGGCTTCTCTAGTAGTGTTTTGTTTCCTTCATAATAAAAAACAACCTCATGCATATGTTCTTGTATTGACATGATCTGCATTGCCTAGCTGGAGAAATTACTGATGTTTGTGAAAATCGTAAAAAAACATGCTTTAAAAATAGAAGAAAAAGTACACCTCGGAGAATTTATCCAAAACCACAGACATCTTCAGTTCCTGAAGAAATAGTCATACTGTACTTTGAAATGCTGTGAACTTTGTGTCCTTAATAAGTAATGAGTTTGGAAGTTATGCTTTTGAAATTTTCCTGCTTTTCTATGATTGAGGGAAGAAAAAAAGAGTCCTTAAAAAAAAAACAAGTGCTGGTGTGCTGCAGTCTTTACTGCAAATGAATGTTTTTCCACTAATTGAATGAAGTAGTTTAATAACTTATCTTCAAGCATTTATGGAGATACTGGAAGTAATGTATCCTCAAGGATGGTAGTTGAAATGAGCAAACTTTCATTCCCCTAATAATTGAATTTGGCACTGAATTTACCACTCTGCAATTTAATTCACCTGTTTTGCAGAGAACAGTGAGATTCTGTGAACAGCTGGCTACTGTTATACCCAACTCACATGTCTACTATCGAAGAGGACTGGCTTTGAAAAGAATTATTCCACAGTGTATTGCAAGGGACTTCACGGATTTAATTGTCATTAATGAAGATCGCAAAATACCAAGTAACCTTTTGTCTATTTATTGAGGAAAGAAAAAAATTCTGTAGAGTGCATCAGAGATAACTCTATGCTGTTTTCTTTTTACTGTGCAAACTAGAGAGTTAAAAATCACTGTGCCACCCTGACTATCTAATGGCTTATGGAACTTGGAATTATTAAAGAAAGTGTGTAGATAGGTTGGCTTTTTATTTTCTTTTAGTCTGTAATGCGTGGATAACCATTGTTATTATTTTAGTAAATTTAATGGTTTGATTAATTAACAAGTTTTTCTGACCAGGAAGTTTCATTTCATTTTGCTGACTAGATGAAACATTACCAATTAATAACTGGGAAAGTGATAGAGGATAACTCTTGTTAGCTATTGAAACATAATTTAATGGACATACTTAGAACACTAGTTATCTAGTCTGTGAATGTATGTTTGAAAATATAACAAAACCTTGTAAATTGGGCATGGATTATGGATATAATACTCTAATGTTGCATTTTGCATAAAATGTTCCTCTGTAAATTACATGTTGAATTTTACCATCCTTTTTTTTTTAACTTGGTGCACAGACGGTCTTGTTTTAAGTCATCTGCCTGATGGTCCAACTGCTCATTTTAGAATGAGTAGTGTGCGTTTACGCAAAGAAATAAAGGTGAGACTCCAAAAAATTTTGAGAAATGGACAGTCTGTTGCTTAATGATGAATGCATTCAGTCTACTTGAACTATCAAAACTGCACTTTTGTATGATTCAGCCGATCTTGTTAAAAGTGGTTTTTTTGTAAACTAACGGGTTTAAGGACTAGTGTATTCTACTTCCATTTTTGAGGTTATTTGCTGAACTTCTGTAACTGTCTGCCATGTATTTTTATAATCATGCCGATAAATAGCAGCTACAATTTTAGCTAAAATTCCCTACATCAGTAGGGAATACCCCACGTATAGCATGCAGACAATAGGGTATATAAAAATCAGCAGTAGAAAAGGTTTCAATAGATGTAGGATTTTTTCAAGACTAGGAACTACTTCTTATTCTTATAGCTCTGTCACTTCTTCTGTAGTAAATACTGCTTACTTAGCCCTAAATAATTTGCAGTAAAATGCTCTTAGTTGGTATTAGTAGAGAGGGAATATTCCTCTGACAGGTAGATTGCACTATTTGCTACACCCGGTTCAGCCAAGAGTAGAAATTTGCGCAGGAGAGAGGAAATGTAAAATTATTTGTGCTTTTTCATTTAATTTATATTGTTGAACCAAAGAATCTTATGTTACCAGCTGCTCCTTTACTTGTTTATGAATTTCAGTTGTGTTTGAAAAAATGATTAGGGCATGTTATCAGCCCTCTTGTCCTCCTATGTCAAACTCTACTGTGATAATACATTAAAATCCTTTTGCATTCCATCTGTTCTTTGCATTCTTCTTTCACTGCAGCGAAAAGGGAAAGAGCCCACAGAGCACGTCCCCGAAGTGATCCTGAACAATTTCACAACGCGACTCGGCCATTCCCTTGGCCGCATGTTTGCTTCTCTCTTCCCGCATGATCCTCAGTTCATTGGAAGACAAGTAGCTACGTTTCACAACCAGCGAGACTACATCTTTTTCAGATTCCACAGGTGATGTTTTCCACAAAACTCATTTACAAATGAGAGGGAGTACTCTTGTAACTTGATTCCTAATTTTAATTCTTTTCTTCCCCAAGATATATATTCAAGAGTGAAAAGAAAGTGGGAATTCAAGAACTTGGGCCACGTTTTACGTTAAAGCTGAGGTCGCTTCAAAAAGGAACTTTTGATTCCAAATTTGGAGAATATGAGTGGATTCATAAGGTATGTCTAAGTAATGATAATCATCCTGCTTGGATAGAATAAATCTGACATGAAATCTAACCATAAATCTTGTCCTAGAAAAGCAGTATAAATGCAGTTGTCAATACAGAAGTGTCTAACTGAAATATTTAGAGCTTTATTTCTCAAAATAGACAAAGCAGAAACATTCTGCTGTATCGCAAGTCAAAATTAAAAATAGAAAGGATGGTGAATATACCATGACTACTTATTTGCAACTGCACTGTAACTGACACATTTCACTGCCTATCCTGCTATAAGCTGGAGTGATCATCCTTGTTTGTATCCTGTTGCATGAATTTGTTGGTAAACAACTTTTCTTTTAAATTTTAGCGTAGAGAAATGGACACAAGTAGAAGAAAATTCCACTTATAAGTGAAATCTGCCAATTGCTGGTGACCAGGAATACAGCAGCTGCTCTCAACTATGGATGATTTCAGACTTCTAATGATAATGATACTGAACAGTATCTGTCTGCAGAAAGACAAACTGCAAACAATAACACTTTCTACAGCAGCAGATCAAGTAGGATGTGTCTTTCTTCCTGTTTGGAGTCAACATGACAAGGACAATGACTTTTTCCAGTTTAGCAGGAAAAACATGGCAATGTTTGAGCAGCCTGTAATTTAGCTATCACTGAAGGTTTGCCATGATTGCTGCTGTGCTGTAGAAGTAGATTATGCTTCACAACATCAAAGACAGCAGATACGTCAGTTAGAGAAATTCTCAAAATAAAGTATTTCTAGTTTTACAGTTCTGTTTTGATTTTTCTCTGTTAACCCAGACATCTTCAATTAACAGGTAAGAGACAAATGTTTTAAACCTCTTTCTAACTTACAGTATGCTGTTCCCTGACAGTATGGTGATAGTTTTCCAAGAATGTTCTCCTATCTAGAGAACATTGAGAAGGCAGTTTGCAATCCAGGAAGTCCATGGTATTTTATTTCATTAACATCTTGCATAAAATAGCCACGTTGCTGAAGTTACAAAAATAATATGCTTGACTCAACAGGTATCTCTTTTGTAAATATCATATCGACAAGAGGTGTATATACCCAGAGCAGCTGAAAAGAAACAAAGACAGATGGGAAAGAATTTGTAAAACCCCCTTAGAGGAAGTACATAAAGCTATCTCATCTAAAAATGCTGCTCAGTGAACGTGTGAGGTGTCTAAGCAGGATTTTCCCCATTAAAATTTTAAAAATGCTTCTTCAGCATCATAGCTATACTTGAGTTGCTATTACCTGCAAATAAACTAGTTTTGCCTTAAGTTGGCACATTCACTGGCAGCTAAAAAGCCAAGTTTTCTTTGAGTTACTTTCTTTTCATGTGCAGCTGTAAGTGCTTTTTTTTAATTACTTAATGAATAAGATGGCTCACAGAGTAAGTCATCTACTAGGGTAGAATTACTCATTAAGATAAAAGATAATTTACTCTTTGTCTTTATTCAATGTCTGTGATACGGCACAGCTGTATAGCTGAATTACAAATTAGCAGTCAAAAATTTTTTTCTGTTCTATTTCTGTTATGCTTCTAAGTATAGTACTGCTGAAGCCTCATTGTTCTGTACAACTATTAGCCCCAGGCAGACTTGCAGCAGCACAAAATATTTAGACACTCTTCTATCTGCTCTCCAGCTGCTGCAGAGGGATGCGGTGACTGGTGAGGTGTCGCCACATCCAAAAGTTAATCAATGTCTTACAGTAATTTCAAGACCAGACTAAGTAAAGACACTTTTATTTTTTGCTTGGCATATAAAACTGATTCCCTTATGAAACAGAAATACGGAACTAGCATACAGTTCATTTGGAGAGGTAGATGGTAAGAGGTTTGACGACAGTAGCACTTGTAGAGTTAGATTTGGCACGTTAAAGCTAAGCTTTTGTACAGACTTCAAACCAGGCTGCTCCTTGAGGCATTCTGCTCATACACACATCAGCAAGTAGGAGAAGATGGTAAAAGATCTGAAAAACAAACCCAAAATCTAGTTAGACAGGTATCAGTGCTAAATGAAGCAACTCTATTTCTAATTTCTTCAGAGTATGCCATGGACAGCTATTAAGGAAAAAAATCCTCTTTTTCTACAGCTCTTTTATAAAACATTAGTTTAAACAATAAACTTTTAAAACCATGAAACTACCCCCAAAAGTACAGTAAGATAATCAAAACTGTTACAAAAGAACTGAAGCTTAGTTTCTCCAGGCAGCCAAACTACTAGGTGGAAGAACAGAAAAAACTGTTCCCCGTCACTCTGTGCGCACTAAAACATCAAGCACCTACTCCGCAAAGCAGGGAGTGTGCTGTGTAACTAACAAACTACACTTCCTCTTCAGTGAGGTGGTGCTGACTGTGCAAACATGAACGCCATTGGCTCATCGAGAAAACACCAGGAATTACAACTAAGAAACCCCCTCTCTTCGGGAAGTCCTGCAGGAGATACAGCAAAGTAAAGGAATTTTACATATAGGTAGTGTAACTAAAACAGAAACAAGTGTTCCATTCCAAAGGCTGTAACTGAGAAAGAAAATATTAAGCCTTTTATGCCCTGTGTACGTACATATGTGTTAGAGACAGAGGAAACATTATTTCCTGACATCCACACCCAGGAACTACTAGACCTTGGCAGACCTCGATGGGGAACTATATGTGTCACTGATTAAGTACAGTTTATTTGGCTTTTTATAAATTATCAATCTGTAATGCTTACAGATAATCTGATTTCTTCCTTGCATTACTGTTTGTAGATGAAGCTACAGTAGTGTGATCACAAATCAGTGTACAAGAATATTTTTACATAAGAGTAGTTGGCAAAATTCACAATAGAAGTAACCTTAAAAGCTACAAGAACTCCAAAGCACATTTCAGTGACACTGCTGTAATTCACTGCTCAAAAGAATGTGGGAAGCATCAACTTCTATACTGTTACTACTCTGGTCTTTAAATGAGGTGATTCATGCTAATACAAACTTTCTGGAAGCTTTCCACAGTCTGTTTGAGGGGAGATCAGTTAACAATTTAGTTTGACTGTGGTCACCTTTCTATAAAGCTGCCTATTAACACTTAAATCTAGAAAACTACAGTTCTTTGGGTGATGTAAGTCAACTACAAAAGCAGAATTTTTCAAGGTTGAGTTGCTATGAGATTTCTAAGGATTGTGATCTACAGTTAACTACTGTGTATTGGGTGCTTTGAAATAATACCTATGCTCTCATCCCCAACAGATCCAAGTCAAGGGGCAGTGGGAAAGGGGAACACGATAAAATTATCATGCATTTACTGTGGTCAAAATAATTAAGTTATTGTGATTCTCAAGAGTTTTAGTGGGACTACTGTGGATCTAAAGCTCACCCTTCTAAAGAGGTTAGCCTAAAATCTAATCACCAGAATTCTTAGGGAATGCCAGATGAGTGAGTAGTCTCCATGGTGATAGCAGTAGTGCTAATGAACCTAATGAAAGTTTTTGAATGAAAATCCAAATAGTTTCTAGTTGTTTAAACTGCTACCCATGTAGTTTTTTTGAGTAGAGTATGGGCCTTGCTACCGTTCTTGGACTACATACTTTTTTCTCTTGGCTTGGAAGGCACTTCATCCCCCCCATAGGAGTCAGTGCTCTTCTTGGGGACCACCACTAATCTGTCCTTGGAAGTGTTTTTAAAAGTTTAAGAACTGAAGTCTGCTTTATCTGCCACAATCAGGTTTCACCAAATATGCTGTCAGGTGATTAATCCTATGTGAGAAAAGGGAAATAATACCCTTACGGAGAGTAGAATTCCTATACAGCCAGGTTAGTCCAAGGAGCCGCTTAGTAGTAGGTGGCCCCACTACTTTGCTACAGCAACAGAAACTGGCAGAAGCTCTGACAGCAAAGTGCTACTCGTAATACTTACGAGCAGCATGTGTCCAGTACAGAGCTGTGACCAGAACAGGGGAGGAGGGGGCCCAAAACGGGGATCTATACCAACATCAGCTGCCTAAGTCAGATGTCTTTTCTGAGTGCCTTTCATAAAGGCTGTCTCATTTAAAGGCAGCTATTTTTAATGACAAAAGAGTTTATGAATTGTAATTCAAGAACTTACCACTGAAAGACACTGAAGTAGTTCACATAATTACAAAAAAGAACAAACTTTCTGGGGTCTGAATGGATTCGTACTTGATGATACTCCTGTCAGTAGGGGATCATGTTGCGCATTCTGCAGGCAGAATTGCTTCAAGTCAGCGGCAGCCTGAGAAACCTAGTCAAAATAACAGGTGGTGTTAGAATTCACTGAACTCTCTTTACAGAGGATGTAACTACATTGAAAAGTATAAGCAATTCTTATGTAGATTTTTATGCAACCATTTTATTGTAATTTTTTTTGTTTGTTTCTTAAAGGCAAGAAATTGAGGAATATAAGAGTAAGAATCAATCTGTGTGTTCAATTTTCATTTTAAACTTCTGAGCACAAAGGGTGACAGATAAGCAACGTCTTGGAGATGGCTTTATTAAACAGATGAAGATCCTTGTTCTAGCATAAATAATTTTAAAATACAGCCTAGAGTTTCACATGCTCGACTGAACTGGCATTTCGTCCTCCCCTGGAAAGCCGTCCTTATGATGAGATATAGCGTATGGGGGTTTTGGCAGGCTGTACCTTCCTAAAAACAGACCAGTGAAAAAACTCTTTGTCTTGCTTTTCTTTGCTGTAACTCTGAACTCATAAAACAGAACGACCAAAGTTTCAAAAAGTAGCATCTTTTACTGGTATGTCGTATCTGCAGTTTGCCCAGAGTTCCCCTGGTGTTACGGGCCGTGTCTCACCCCGGCACGGCACGAGTTCAATGTACTTTGTGTGTCTGGCGGCGACGTCTCCATTTTACAGCGCTGGGGCCGGGCCAGTCTGTTGTGCGCCCCGACTCGGGCCGCCTTTTCACCAGAGCCCGACGGAAGGCGCCGCTCCCCGGACCGGGGGCACGGAAGGGGCGCGCGGGACGCGTCCATGGCCCCGGGAGCGGCCCTGGGGCCCTGAGGGCTGCGGAGAGCGAGGGGCGGACGGGCCGAGCGCCGGGGGCGGCGGCGGCCGGGACGCGGCTGTGCGGCCGTCCGGGCTCGCCCCGGCCGGGCAGCCCCGACGCAGCCCCAGGGCGAAGCCTGGGCGCTCTGCCCCGAGCAAGGTCTGCGGGCCGGGCAGGTCGGAGCCGGCGGCCCCGGCCCGCCGGGCCCGGGGCGGTGAAATGGCGGCGCGTCCGCCCCGCCCCGTCCCGGTCCCGTCGCGGCTCCGCGCTCACCTTCACGCGGGTCACACTCGCCTCCAGGCGCAGCTGCTGCACCACTTTCTTCATGGCCGCCACGTTGGAGGAGCCCGACATGGCGGGAGCGGCGGCGGCACACCCAGAGCAACTTCCCGGCGCGGCCACAGCTCCCGGGACGGCGGCGCCTGCGCGGGCGGCCGGGCGGGGCCGGGCCCCTGTGCCCCGGGGGGGCGGGCACGGGGAACCGCCTGCCCCGTTTATCCGGTAAGTGGACTGAAAGAGGAAGCACCGTTAAGACCAAGGTGGCAAACCTTGGTGGTAGTATCAAGTAAGTTCCAAGTTTGGAGATTATTTTGAGATGCGATCAATGAAGTTCCTGACTTTGCTCTTGCCAGCAGTTTGGGTCTTGGCTACAACCTGGAGGATTAGTTTACTAATCGTAGTTCACTGCAGAAAGTAAACCAGGCATGGTGATGAAGCCTCGAGCATGGGATGGACGTCATGTGCTGCAAAGTGCAGCATCT